ACAGTTAATATGGAAGCCTTGCCCATTGAAAGACCTGGGGAGAAAATAAAGAGGAGTTTACTTTTTAACTCTGAAGGATTTTCTTTCTAACACTTAGTAGAGGTGCTTCCAAATATCTTTCTTCATTGAGGTTGTTTTATTTTAACCTTTGGAACATGGCAGAGTTATCACCTAGAATTACATTCTTATGCTCCCTTAATTATGTATATCTTTTCCTTAACAAACCTTAAAAAAAGATTTCAGATGTTACAAGTCTAATTAAAGAGACAGACAAAGCACAGTTTATACTGTAGATTTTTTCTGCAGTTCAATTAATCAGCATGTTTTCTCTTTTAATTAAAACCATTTTAGTAAATTAAAGCCCACAGCAAAACACATATATAATTTGTTTGTAATTAGCTCTTAATTGGTGGTAGTTGAAGCTTAGCACCCTTGGTTTCTTTCTTCATGATTGCCATTTTATTAGCAGCCAGTCATTAATTAATCTTTTTTTCTAATTAGCTTATAAAACTGTTGATGGCACATTATTGTAAATGTGATTTTAAGTTCAAAGCTTGTTAATAAGCTTTCTTACTTAGAAGAACAGAGATAAAGAAATTGCTGAAAACAGTACTACAGTTCTTTTTTTAAAACTGCCTTTCTTATAAGGGGGCTGTGTAAAGCATCTAACAGCTTATAGTTAATTTTTTAATGCTGTGTTTTCTCATGAATGGAAGAAGTTACTTGCATGTAAATGTTTAAATCTGGCAAAGAGCTTATTTTTAGAACAGTTTTCTGTCCTTGCTCCATTACTCTGCTATCCAAATATAATTTGATGTTGTAGTACCCAGCATAAAAATACAACAAACGTATTACAAAGTATTTTACAGTGGAAGTTGGGCACATCATTGAAAGGGGACAATCTTCAGTGCAAAATCCACTCGGTATTCTTGTTTGCTTTATATATTTTATATACGTCAGCAACGGATAACATTCCATAACATAAAAGGAGAAAATCATTGCTAAAGGCAACCCTGAAATAACTAGATTCATATTTGATGAGAAGCTGTAACACTGTATTAAAAGGCTGTTTGGCTTCGCTGGTATGATCATAGGATATTTCAGGACCTGTTTGAATATAGATGTTTTGTTAGAGCTTCTGTACCTTTAGCTCTTTGCATATCATACCTAGATATTTCTGGAGCAGTTCTTGAATCTGTTGTCTCATTATTTTTACCATTCAGCATTTAATTGCACTGTGCTCTCTTAATGAAAAGTCTTTCCTGTGTGATGTTTAATGTGGAATGTCTTGATTTTCAAGGAACTTTTCTGCAAGTTACAGTAGATTCTGCTGCAGCTTAATCCAAATGTTTACTCTGCTGCCTGAACTTTACACACTATTTCAACTTCAGCCATTTCTTTGCTTGTTTTAAAAATGTTTTATGATGCTGTGCAGGAAACACTAGAAAGGGATAGCTGACAAGGAAAAAATTAAAAATTGGATAAAAAGTAAATGAATAATGTCATATTACTAAAAAGATGAGAGGCTAATTTGTGCCGACTTTTTGCTAATTTTGTTCAAGCCTCAAAATGAGGAGCTGTCACCCGTTCTGTGTAGCACTGATGACAGTGCCAATGATCCATGAAATAAGCTGCCGCTGGCTTTGTTCTGATAAGAATGAACAAATCTGCACAATGTACGGCTCCCAGAATCTCATTTTCATACTTGCATGCAGGCTAAAAGAAATAAGCTGTTTGCAGGCTTGATTAATCAGACATTTGAGGGGTTTTTGTCTCTTTGATCTCTTTCGTCTCCTAGGTAACTTGCTTGACATTAATGTTGAGCTTGAGTAAAGACAATCAGGAATTGTAGACCAAACTGATATAAAAATTAAAGACCTTAACACTTTAAGTACTCCAGTAATGGTTCCGCTTTACTTCAGAAAACATCTGTTTTCATTTAATTAAAGAACAAAAGAGAAGAGCATAAATATTTTTCATTGAGACCTGTTATTCCATAAAAAGTTAAAGTATGATAATTGGTATTTTTAAATAAATGCCTTGAAACTGTTCAAAAAGAAGCAAAGCTTCAGAAATGAGTTGCAAGGTAACAATTTCAGAGGAGTAGAGCATTTATTAAAAATAAGAGAGATAGAATTTTCATTTATGCTCCGTTAAACATCTAGAGTAAAATATTTGACATTATTATTGGTCAACTTCAAGATGGAAAGGTCCTTGCCCTGTAGAAAAGAAGTTGTTTTTTTAAGTTTGTCTTAAAAGAAATACATATATTGTGTTAGCAGGATGAGCCATTATATCAGCTTTACTGCCCAATATGATTTACACACTTTAAACCTGTAAAATTGAAAGGAATGTCAAGGAAAAAAAAATGTCGCAGTGCGTTTGCTTGAGGTTATGCAGACGCTTTTACAAATCTTCCAAGTGGCTGTAAAGATGAATGCCTCAAGGGTCTAGCCAGGGCCCTGCTTTTCCAACCAGCTAAAGCCCTTATCTTAAATCCAAGCAAAGTACCATTAATCTTTTTGAAAGACCTTTTATGGCTTTTAATATATCCCAAATTAGAACATTTTACACCCTTGGTTCCTGAAATATGGTGATAAAAAGCCTTTAGAGCTTAATTTTCCTTACTGCGTGCTCTGACCAATTTGCAGTTCTTTGTGATAATGTTTAGACACCTTAATTAAAATGCAGCAAAATATTGGATGTTCTATATGGAAAATGCTGATACTTTGACTACACAAGAAATTGTTGTATATGTTTTTATTCATGCTTTCTTACTGCTTTTAAGATGGTATTTTATTGAGTTATCTGATGACCTGAAATGTTTTTTTAATGCAAAACCCATTGACCAAGCTTTTATGGATTTCTTCTGGGAGGGGAGGCAGTGAAGATGTATGTCTGGGTGTGGGTGGGAGCAGAAGACATTTAATCTGACTGAAATGATTGTGTGTATGTTTATATGGCAACACGCTTGTTTTTATGTGTCTCAAATTTGACTCTGTAGCCTAGAAATGATAACATTAATGCTGCAAAATGTTCCTCCTTTTATTTCCACTCACACCATGGAGGATATTATCCAATTTTTCCCATACTTCTCAAAGATGGAAGAACTCATTCTGTCTTCCAAGAAATACTGCAGCACCTCACTTGTGTTTCTTTGTGCATAAGTATTCAATAGGCCGCTGAAAGATATTGTAAGGAGGTGCTCTTATCTTATTAATCATATAGTAAGGGCTAATTTAGTGTATGTTAAGATATACAAAATAAGGTTGAAAAAAAACCAAGGCATGGGTCCACTGATTGACTCCAGCCATCAGATTGCTTTTTTTTTTTTAGCTAATAATTAGTCCTGTTTCAATTAGCAAGAAAACACTTTTGTAATATTTTAGATGAGTTTTTTAAGCATTTTTCTACTGCAAGTGTATTGAAGTTAATATCTGCCCTTAAATATTGTGACAATGCAAATAAGAGAATATTTTCTAGTCTCTGACTAGAGATCTGGCAGTTCAGATGGTGACATTGAATTACTGATTATATAAAATGTTGCTCCTCAGGGGGAAAATAATGCAGCTAATAACATAAAAGATTTGAAATGTCTGGTCACAGGAGGTTTTTTTAATGCATCAAGATTATTCCATAGGTACATATTTATGACCTTAAAACATGCAAAAAGTAGATGAAAAACTGTTTTAGCATGATTTGTTTTACACAGGTTTCCTTTAAAAATATACTCACCTCTTAACTGGTTGGGCTGCCAGTGTGTAGAGAGGAAACGGAGGGTGTGCTTAGTGCCTTCATGTATGTGGACTCTTAAAGCCTTGTGCAGAAAGGCTGCTTTCCTGATTCTTGAACCCTGAAAGGACCATAACAGAATAGCTTTTAGTGAGGCTGTTTTGTTTTACTTTGTTAACAAAATGATCAGGGTATCTACCTACCTGCAAGGTGGGTGTTTGGTGGCAGAGTTGTAGATGTGTCAGTGTACCTACACCTGAAGATGTGTTCAGTTTTCCCTCATTGTATGTAGATAAAATGTCTCCGAATAAATAAGAATCACCTGTATGGATGCTGCAGATTATTGAAGTGTATTACCATTAATAATGGGACCAAAGTGTTCAGGAGTGTTCTGTCCCTTGGGTCTCCCATGCCTCTCTTGTTTGATGCTCCCATGATGCTTTTTGGGAAACTGAGATTATCCAGTCAGAAATGTCTTCACTGCTTCAGAAGGTTTTGGAGCAGATAGGAAGGAAACTTGTTTGTCACCACAGTTAGCAGCAGTTTTGGTTAAATGACAGCAATCATAAAATGTAACCACAGTGAACAAGTTATGAATGCTGATTGGGGGAGATAATTTGGTCATAGTTCACAGTAACTTTTTGTTTCATTGCTTAATTCCTAGAGTATAAGTTTATGAAAGTAAAGTGGTGTGCATCTACTGCCTATTACAACCTTACTTGAAAAGCATGCATGTTACCACACTACTAATCTAAAAGCTGGTAATGTGAAGAGTAACTGCCAGACTTGCTCTAAGGACACTGCCTTGGTCTCTTTCTGGACAGAGAGGTTAAAACATGGCTACCAGTAGTACCGGTGCTACTACCTTTTTGGTGGCTTCTGTATCGCTAAGACCTGATACTGTTGTGTTGGCACAGCTGAGGTCACAGGCTAGTCTTAGGAATGGAGGCTGCACTTGTGTGTGTATATATTTATTTAAAAAACAAGCAAACAAAAGGATCTAGTGGTCTATCTCCCTGCTAGGGTTCTTAAAAAGGAGCGATGCAAAAAGAACTGCTTGCCCCAAGATCCAGCTCCTTTGTATATCTCTTGCGGCACATTCTCACTCGTCTGATCTAATAGTACAGCATCAGCCTCATATTTGAAAGATATTTTCCTATCTATTGAATTTTGAGGAACGTTATCAGAGCAAGTAATTCGTGAGGCTTACATTTCATTTGAGCCATTTCCATCTATTCAGTTTTCCTTTGTTCCTTTTTGTGTCTTAGCTTGGTGTGAAAATTGCCAAAGCTGCCGCTTGCCGCAACTTTGTAAAAGCCAAGCAAGAAGCAGAGGCTGCCCAAGAAGCAAGAAAGAAAAAGAAGCTTGCTTGGGGGTAAGTCATTTGAGTATGTAATTAAACATTTGTGGTTTCATTGGCACTGAGCATATACAATACAATCTCAGTTTAATGTTTTCTTAGTTGAAATAGGTTTGTGCTAATCTTATTTGTTTAGTTTAACCTTGTTGGGTTTGGGAGGTTTTTTTGTGGTTTGTTTGGGTTTTTTTTAACAGTGTATCAGACTTAAGTACAGAGGCTTTACCAGAATTAATGTAGTGGTTATATGGCTACATATGTCTCCATGTTTTTATTACAATATTAACATTTTTTTGTTCTTAAAAATAGTATGGTTGAAAACATGTATGCTTATGATTCCTAAGATGATTTTTGTGCTCTTTTTTTTTTTTTTTAGATTTGAAGCCAAGAAAAGATGGGAAACAAAAAGCAACATGGGATACATGTAATCCATCCTGTTTTCCTCAGGAGTCAAATAACCTGTATTTACTTGAAGAATCTTTGTGGGAGACTTCTTAAATCTAAACACACAAAAAACCCCAACACATCCCACTCCTTGTGTTTCTAATGGTGGCAGACTGCAGCATCTTGTTTTGGCACTGTCTTACAATGCAGCAAAAATACTACTTAAACATCAAGACTAAAGTATAGGATTTTTCTCCAAAAGATGAAAATCTGATATAATGCATCGTAGAATGCTTTTGGTTGGAATAAAACCCTTGCTCCAAGTGTGTTCTGTGGTGCAGCTACAATGTGTGGGTATAAGGTGAAGGATAAGTTT